TTGCTGGTGCTGCATATACAAGGAGGAGAGTTGACTAGAAGTCCAGTTTGTTCACCCATTGCCGAAGCTCCACAGCCGGAAGTCGTGGAGTTCAACAACACGATCTATGCCACTTGTGAAGTAACTCCCAGCCCCAATTTGCCACGTTCCCAGCCAAAGATCTTTGGGCAAATCCTCTTCAAGCAGGTCTTCCCCGATGGAGTTTTAGAGGTGAAAGTCAACCTCCGTGGTTTCCCTGCCAAGGATCGTCAAGAGCGTGCCATTGACGTCCATCGGTATGGAGACCTCAGTCAAGGCAGCGTCACTGTTGGTCCTCCTTACAATCCAAATGGTGTTGACCGCCCAAGTCGTCCTGGAGACATGGGCAACTTTGCTTCTGAGAAAGGAGTTATAAGGCTGTCCCTGGATCTCCCAGAGGCCAAGCTCTTCGGGGCTCATTCCATTCTGGGACGTTCGGTGGTGGTTCACGAGAAGGAGGGTCATTTTGGAATGGGGTCAGATGAGGAGAGTCAACAGAGTGGGTGTTCTGGACCGATAATTGCTTATGGTGTCATTGGTATTACTTCTCCAGGTCTGTGGGAGAAGACTGGACCGCTCCCCAGGAAAAGCTGTGGAGGACGCCGTGATCATCGGCACATCCATGGTCCGCCATGTCTGCGCTAATTCGGATAAAGGTAAGGTGCGCACTCACTGCTTTCCTGGTGCTCGTGTTCTTGATGTCGCTGCACAGGTTCCCGAGATCCTGAACGGGGACGAGCGCGTCGAAGCTGTTGTGCTGCACGCGGGAGCGAACGACATTAGGCTGCGGCAGACGGAGGTTCTGAAGAAGGACTACAGGAGCCTGATCGAGACGGTGCACAGCGCCTAAAGCAGCGATCATCGTGTCTGGACCGCTTCCCACGTACAGACAAGGACAGGAAAGGTTCAGTAGACTATTTGCATTAAATGAATGGTTAATGTCATTGTGTAATGAACAGAGGCTGCACTTTGTAAATAACTGGCATCTGTTTTGGGAGAGACCGAGGCTGTACAGCACAGATGGACTCCATCCCAGCCGAATCGGAGCGGCTGTGCTGTCGGACAACATTTCCAAGACACTACGCACCAGATGACTAATGAGTCAAAGTCCAAATTACAGCCTTTGCAGTCCAAACTTAACTAATAAGCATAGTGTGGAACATTATATAGAAATTGTGTCTATTCCTCGTTTAGTGAAGCCAAACAATAAATCTAGTGTAGGATCTAGCAACAATCTTTTTGTAATTAAACCAGAAAATCTAAATATCAGTGAACAAAAACAATTTCTAAAGCTAGGTCTTCTAAACATTAGATCGCTCACACCTAAGGCGGTTATTGTAAATGAAATGGTCACAGACAATAACTTCGATGTTCTGTGCCTTACTGAAACCTGGCTTAAACCAAATGAGTATTTCGGTCTAAACGAATCTACTCCGCCAGGATACTGTTATAAACATGAGCCTCATCTGATCGGTTGTGGGCGGCGGTGTTGCAACAATCTATAAAGATATTTTTAATATTACTCAGAAAACAGGTCACAGGTTTAATTCATTTGAAGTACTTGTGCTAAATGTTACGCTCTTAGATGTAAGAAGGAAATCCATATTATCTCTAGCCCTGGCTACTGTATATAGACCTCCAGGGCCATATGCTGAATTCCCTAAAAGAGTTTGCAGACTTTCTCTCGGATCTATTGGTAAATGTCGATAAAGCAATAATTGCTGGAGATTTTAACATACACGTAGATAATACAAATGATGCTTTAGGGGCTGCGTTTACAGACTTATTAAACTCCTTTGGGGTCAAACAAAACGTCAGTGGTCCCACTCATCGTCTAAATCATACACTAGATTTAATTATATCATATGGAACCGATCCAACTGATATAGATATTATACCGCAAAGCGATGATGTCACTGATCATTACATGGTGACTTGCATAATACGTACTGATGAAATATGTCATGTTGCACCACGTTATAGACCAGGCAGAACAATCCTTCCAACCACTATAGATGGATTCTCAAATAGCTTACCTGATCTATCTAAGCTGCTAAGTGAACCCAAACAAACAGATGAATTAGAGGAAATGACTAGCAGTTTAAGCACCATTCTTACTAGTCCATTAGATATTGTTGCGCCAATTAGATTAAAAAAGGTTCGAGAGAAATTAAAGCACCATGGTACAACAGTGCTACCACATGCTATCAAGAGAGAAACTCGCAACTTAGAGCGTAAATGGAAAACAAACTAATTTAGAGGTCTTTAGAATCGCGTGGAAAGACAGCATGTCACGTTATAAAAAAGGCCCTAAAAACAGCCAGGGCTGAGCATCTCCGCAAACTAATCGAAAATAACCAAAATAATCCAAGGTTTTTATTTAACACCGTGGCTAGACTAACAAATAAACAGACATCACCAGAGCAAAATATACCGTTACAGTTTAGTAGTAATGATTTTATGAATTACTTCAATGCGAAAATAGAAAGCATCCGAAACAAAATTTTAAATGTACAATCCGCTATGGTGTCTTATGATTCAGCTTCAATTATGGCCCCTCTAGAACAACTACACCGCTTTACAACGATAGGACAGGAGGAGCTAAACAAACTTATCATTGCATCTAAACCAACAACGTGTTTATTAGATCCAATACGCACTAAACTACTGAAAGAATTATTACCTGCAGTGGAAGAGCCTCTCCTCAATATTATTAAACTCGTCTTTATCTTTAGGTCATGTCCCAAAAATATTCAAGCTGGCAGTAATAAAACCGCTCATTAAGAAACCGCAATTTGATCCAAATAACTTGGCAAATTACAGACCCATTTCAAATCTTCCATTTATGTCCAAAATACTTGAAAAAGTAGTGTCCGCTCAATTGTGCTCTTTTTTGCAAGAAAATGATATCTATGAAAAATTCCAGTCAGGATTCAGACCGCATCATAGTACAGAAACTGCGCTAGTTAAAATTACAAATGATTTACTTTTAGCTTCTGACCAAGGCTGTATCTCAATACTAGTCCTACTTGATCTTAGCGCTGCGTTCGACACTATAGATCATAAAATACTCTTGGATCGACTACAAAACTTCACCGGTGTCCAGGGACAGGCATTAAACTGGTTTAGATCGTACTTATCGGACCGTTCTCATTTTGTCTGTTTAAATGGGAAAAAATCAAAGATAACGTCAGTAGACTATGGAGTACCGCAAGGATCGGTTTTAGGCCCTCTGCTATTCTCAATATATATGCTGCCACTTGGTAATATTATAAGAAAACATGGAATTAATTTCCACTGTTATGCTGACGACACTCAATTATATTTCATCACGACCAGATGAAAACACTAACTCATCTAAAATGACAGTGTCTCAAAATATAAAAATGCTGGATGACGCGTAATTTCCTGCTATTAAATTCAGATAAAACGGAGGTATTACTTATTGGTCCAAAAAACTACTCACAAAACCTCTCAAAATACAACTTTAATATAGACGGATGTCCTGTTACTTTATCCACTACAGTAAAATACCTGGGTGTTATACTAGACCGCAACTTGTCGTTCGAAAATCATATTTCATATGTTACAAGAACAGCCTTTTTTCCACCTTAGAAACATTGCTAAGCTGCGTAACATGCTATCTATTTCTGATGCTGAAAAATTAGTTCACGCATTCATGACCTCGAGACTAGATTACTGTAATGCTTTATTAGCTGGCTGTCCTGCATCCTCAATAAACAAGCTACAGTTAGTACAAAATGCAGCTGCTAGAGTTCTTACTAGGTCAAGAAAATATGATCATATAACACAGATTTTATCATCTCTACACTGGTTACCTATTAAGTTCCGCATCAACTACAAAATACTACTACTGACCTATAAAGCCCTAAATGGTTTAGCACCTATGTATTTAACGGACCTTCTTTCGCCCTACAATCCACTGCGTTCCTTAAGCGGTCATATGTTACAATGTGCCCCTCACATGTTACAATGTATCCCACCTATGGGTCATGTTGTCACATTTCACTTCCATTCTTTCTGGGTAAATTAAGAATCAAGTATACACTGTATTAATAAAACCACAATTGTAATAGACATGTGGGAAAATAAATACACTAAACCCCAAGCAGATTTACACAAACTGATAAAGTCAAAAGGCATTATGTTGTGCCCCACCCTCCCCTAGCTACCCTTGAGGTGTGGTCACACCCATCAGTGTCATAGCATCAAGCAAATCTCTTTTATCATTTAGAGAAATAGTGTATATTTATAGACCATTGTCATGCTCCGAAAGTGTAAACCCATTAAGCACAGTACAAGCAAACTTAAACTATAGGATGAACGCAGGTAAAGTGGACATTTTTTTTTTTTAAGAGTGGAGCTGTTTACTATTGGGAGCTATGGCCAAAAAGTCTCTGAAAAGACCAAAACAGACACGAATTGCTGGACACCAGGAAACCAGTCAAAAGCATTGGAAGTGTTTGTAATGGCAATAAATCTAGGGATATCATTTCAGAGTATTAAGAATCACTTTAATGTAGGACATATGCAAACACACAAGGAAAAAATCATGATTATCCCATTTGAATCTGCTTTTCCACCATATCCGCCTCTCAGTGACCTCCTCCACAGGTTTTCCTGGGGAGCGGTCCAGTCTTCTCCCACAGACTTGGAGAAGTAATACCAATGACACCATAAGCAATTATCGGTCCAGAACACCCACTCTGTTGACTCTCCTCATCTGACCCCATTCCAAAATGACCCTCCTTCTCGTGAACCACCACCGAACGTCCCAGAATGGAATGAGCCCCGAAGAGCTTGGCCTCTGGGAGATCCAGGGACAGCCTTATAACTCCTTTCTCAGAAGCAAAGTTGCCCATGTCTCCAGGACGACTTGGGCGGTCAACACACATTTGGATTGTAAGGACGACCAACAGTGACGCTGCCTTGACTGAGGTCTCCATACCGATGGACGTCAATGGCACGCTCTTGACGATCCTTGGCAGGGAAACCACGGAGGTTGACTTTCACCTCTAAAACTCCATCGGGAAGACCTGCTTGAAGAGGATTTGCCCAAAGATCTTTGGCTGGGAACGTGGCAAATTGGGGCTGGGAGTTACTTCACAAGTGGCATAGATTGTGTTGTTGAACTCCACGACTTCCGGCTGTGGAGCTTCGGCAGGGTGAACAAACTGGACTTCTAGTCGACTCTCCTCCTTGTATATGCAGCACCAGCAATATCAGAGGGATTTGTAGGACCATTTTCTCCATGTTGATCTTTATAGCCTACAATGAAGATTGGATTCCGTTTAAGAACATAGTATGTTTGATAGAATACGGTTTAAAGCTCTGAGAGTATAAGTTGCGTTAGGTAAAACACCACAACCAGATTAGTTTGCAAAGAAAAAAAAAAAATCACGAAAGAAATTGGACTTTTTAATGGTCATGTAGCCTTGTGAAAAAGCGTGCTTATTTGAATGTGTACTTGTACTTCAAATCTTGAAAATACAACGGTAGGTCTGCTTGCAGATAATAGAACTCTGATGAATTATAAAAACCCACTTAAGTGTACATACCATACCTTACATTAGTGCCCACCAGAGGGCTTATACATTAAAAAGCCAATGACACACACAGGTGGATGTAAATCACACTATGATGAGTGCAGGCAAAGGCCTATGGAAAAGACTAGGGAGAATATTTAACTGCATTTAGAATTTAATAGAAATTATGTTAATTGACCATAAATGCCCAGTAAATTTAGTACTACACGAACCATATTTCAAAGACAATACAAGTAGTTATGTAATTATATATAGAGAGATAAGCTTGGGTCAAACCAATGACTGTTTCAGCTAACTGCATATACAGTACTTTTAAACTAGAACACAGTTTTATTTACAGTTCTATAAACAGGCAATTAAGTCTGAAAACATTATATTCTTGCACTTATGTATATTTTAAAGTTTTATTTACTTAAATGCTAAAGTGCACTTTGTCACAAGGGCAAGTGAAGTGAATTAAAAAAAAAACAACCTTTTTGTTGTACTAATTCAAGTCAATGTTTGCAAGAATGGAGAGAGAAAAAAACAAATCAAAAACAGCATAGGACCATCACCGTATAGTTGAAAATCCAAAGAAACACTCCGAAACTTAATCCATGTGCAATCCTGAACTGGGGTTGAGAGAATGTTCCTTTACAATCAAACTGTTGCTCTTATAGGAACTCATGTGGAGCTACAAGTTAACCATATTAGTCTGTTAGTCTCTAATTAAGTTCACCTGTCTTTCATTTAGCTCCCTTTGTTTGCCTGTGGGGGGGGGATCAGCCATAGATTAGGGACAAACTCGAGGGGCGTTGCGTCTTCCTAACCAGTGTTTGTTGAGTGTGTCATGTGGGAAAATAAATACACTAAACCCCAAGCAGATTTACACAAACTGATAAAGTCAAAAGGCATTATGTTGTGCCCCACCCTCCCCTAGCTACCCTTGAGGTGTGGTCACACCCATCAGTGTCATAGCATCAAGCAAATCTCTTTTAGAGAAATAGTGTATATTTATAGACCATTGTCATGCTCCGAAAGTGTAAACCCATTAAGCACAGTACAAGCAAACTTAAACTATAGGATGAACGCAGGTAAAGTGGACTTTTTTTTTTAAGAGTGGAGCGGTTTACTATTGGGAGCGATGGCCAAAAAGTCTCTGAAAAGACCAAAACAGACAGGAATTGCTGGACACCAGGAAACCAGTCAAAAGCATTGGAAGGGTTTGTAATGGCAATAAATCTAGGGATATCATTTCAGAGTATTAAGAATCACTTTAATGTAGGACATATGCAAACACACAAGGAAAAAATCATGATTATCCCATTTGAATCTGCTTTTCCACCATATCCGCCTCTCAGTGACCTCCTCCACAGGTTTTCCTGGGGAGCGGTCCAGTCTTCTCCCACAGACTTGGAGAAGTAATACCAATGACACCATAAGCAATTATCGGTCCAGAACACCCACTCTGTTGACTCTCCTCATCTGACCCCATTCCAAAATGACCCTCCTTCTCGTGAACCACCACCGAACGTCCCAGAATGGAATGAGCCCCGAAGAGCTTGGCCTCTGGGAGATCCAGGGACAGCCTTATAACTCCTTTCTCAGAAGCAAAGTTGCCCATGTCTCCAGGACGACTTGGGCGGTCAACACCATTTGGATTGTAAGGAGGACCAACAGTGACGCTGCCTTGACTGAGGTCTCCATACCGATGGACGTCAATGGCACGCTCTTGACGATCCTTGGCAGGGAAACCACGGAGGTTGACTTTCACCTCTAAAACTCCATCGGGGAAGACCTGCTTGAAGAGGATTTGCCCAAAGATCTTTGGCTGGGAACGTGGCAAATTGGGGCTGGGAGTTACTTCACAAGTGGCATAGATCGTGTTGTTGAACTCCACGACTTCCGGCTGTGGAGCTTCGGCAATGGGTGAACAAACTGGACTTCTAGTCAACTCTCCTCCTTGTATATGCAGCACCAGCAATATCAGAGGGATTTGTAGGACCATTTTCTCCATGTTGATCTTTATAGCCTACAATGAAGATTGGATTCAGTGAAATCATTCCTTTTAAGAACATGGTATGTTTGATAGAATACGGTTTAAAGCTCTGAGAGTAGAAGTTGCATTAGGTAAAACACCACAACCAGATTAAATGTTAATTGACCATAAATGCCCAGTAAATTTAGTACTACACGAACCATATTTCAAAGACAATACAAGTAGTTATGTTATTATATATAGAGAGATAAGCTTGGGTCAAACCAATGACTGTTTCAGCTAACTGCATATACAGTACTTTTAAACTAGAACACAGTTTTATTTACATTTCTATAAACAGGCAATTAAGTCTGAAAACATTATATTCTTGCACTTATGTATATTTTAAAGTTTTATTTACTTAAATGCTAAAGTGCACTTTGTCACAAGGGCAAGTAAAGTGAATTAAAAAAAAACAACAACAAAAAAACCTTTTCGTTGTACTAATTCAAGTCAATGTTTGCAAGAATGGAGAGAGAAAAAAAAAATCAAAAAACAGCATAGGACCATTACCGTATAGTTGAAAATCCAAAGAAACCCTCCGACACTTAATCCATGTGCAATCCTGAACTGGGGTTGAGAGAATGTTCCTTTACAATCAAACTGTTGCTCTTATAGGAACTCATGTGGAGCTACAAGTTAACCATATTAGTCTGTTAGTCACTAATTAAGTTCACCTGTCTTTCATTTAGCTCCCTTTCTTTGCCTGTGGGAGGGTCAGCCATAGTTTAGGGACAGATTTGTACCCAGAAATAAACTAAACCTGAAAAATATCCCCAAACCTATTTTTACTGACAGTCATAGAAAAATAATGTGTGAAAGAACAAATAAACTCTAAATATGAAAAGCCACTGTATGCTGATGATTGTGATGTGTGGCAGTGTTGATGCTTCTTAAACCAACTGCTCAAAGGTTTCTACTGTAAATGTGACTGTTTTAATTTATGAGATCTCGAGTAATTTCTTGCTTTTTGTACACTCTTTATTTACTTATTCAAGACAGTGCACATTAATGAACAATCTTGCACTCGTGTAGAGACTGTAAATGAGCCAGCTAGATTATAGCATAAATTCTCATTTTCATTAGGTACCAGTTTGGTACCACACTACCTTCTATATTGATCCTCAAAACTTGTTGTTCCCATACGGATGTGATGGTCGGATGATTACTGGTTGGGAACTAAACACTTTGATGTCCTGGTTTTTCAAGGCCCATATGTTTGTTGTTATCCATCTCTCGTGCTGTCTTTGAGCTATAATCTCCTCGAAGTTGAAGATCTGGTTCCCTTATGTATGCACTAGTCGGATTATTGTCTACCAATGACACCATAAGCAATTATCGGTCCAGAACACCCACTCGGTTGACTCTCCCATCTGACCCCATTCCAAATCACCCTCCTTCTCGGAACCAGCCCCCGAACGTCCCAGAATGGAATAAGCCCCGAAGACTTGGAACCCTTCGGAGATCCAGAGCAAAGGCCCCAGTTCAAAGTGAGTGTCTGGATTGGGCGTCAACACCATTTGAATTGTAAGGAGGACCAACAGTGACGCTGCCTTGACTAAGGTCTCCATACCGATGGACGTCAATGGCACGCTCTTGACGTCCCGGCAGGGAGGAGGTTGACTTTCACCTCTAAAACTCCATCGGGGAAGACCTGCTTGAAGAGGATTTGCCCAAAGATCTTTGGCTGGGAAGGTGGCAAATTGGGGCTGGGAGTTACTTCACAAGTGGCATAGATCGTGTTGTTGAACTCCACGACTTCCGGCTGTGGAGCTTCGGCAATGGGTGAACAAACTGGACTTCTAGTCAACTCTCCTCCTTGTATATGCAGCACCAGCAATATCAGAGGGATTTGTAGGACCATTTTCTCCATGTTGATCTTTATAGCCTACAATGAAGATTGGATTCAGTGAAATCATTCCGTTTAAGAACATGGTATGTTTGATAGAATACGGTTTAAAGCTCTGAGAGTAGAAGTTGCATTAGGTAAAACACCACAACCAGATTAAATGTTAATTGACCATAAATGCCCAGTAAATTTAGTACTACACGAACCATATTTCAAAGACAATACAAGTAGTTATGTAATTATATATAGAGAGATAAGCTTGGGTCAAACCAATGACTGTTTCAGCTAACTGCATATACAGTACTTTTAAACTAGAACACAGTTTTATTTACATTTCTATAAACAGGCAATTAAGTCTGAAAACATTATTTTCTTGCACTTATGTATATTTTAAAGTTTTATTTACTTAAATGCTAAAGTGCACTTTGTCACAAGGGCAAGTGAAGTGAATTAAAAAAAAAAAACAACCTTTTTGTTGTACTAATTCAAGTCAATGTTTGCAAGAATGGAGAGAGAAAAAAACGAATCAAAAAAAGCATAGGACCATCACCGTATAGTTGAAAATCCAAAGAAACACTCCGAAACTTAATCCATGTGCAATCCTGAACTGGGGTTGAGAGAATGTTCCTTTACAATCAAACTGTTGCTCTTATAGGAACTCATGTGGAGCTACAAGTTAACCATATTAGTATGTTAGTCACTAATTAAGTTCACCTGTCTTTCATTTAGCTCCCTTTGTTTGCCTGTGGGGGGGGTGGGGGGGGGTGGTCAGCCATAGTTTAGGGACAGATATGTACCCAGAAATAAACTAAACCTGAAAAATATCCCCAAACCTATTTTTACTAACAGTCATAGAAAAATAATGTGTGAAAGAACAAATAAACTCTAAATATGAAAAGCCACTGTATGCTGATGATTGTGATGTGTGGCAGTGTTGATGTTTCTTAAACCAACTGCTCAAAGGTTTCTACTGTAAATGTGACTGTTTGTTTTTGACTGTTTTAATTTATGAGATCTCGAGTAATTTCTTGCTTTTTGTACACTCTTTATTTACTTATTCAAGACAGTGCACATTAATGAACAATCTTGCACTCATGTAGAGACTGTAAATGAGCCAGCTAGATTATAGCATAAATTCTCATTTTCATTAGGTACCAGTTAGGTACCACACTACCTTCTATATTGATCCTCAAAACTTGTTGTTCCCATACGGATGCGATGGTCGGATGATTACTGGTTGGGAACTAAACACTTTGATGTCCTGGTTTTTCAAGGCCCATATGTTTGTTGTTATCCATCTCTCGTGCTGTCTTTGAGCTATAATCTCCTCGAAGTTGAAGATCTGGTTCCCTTATGTATGCACTAGTCGGATTATTGTTTGCTTCAAACTAACATTATGATGTTCTGATCTCTCAAAACCAGCCATGATTTGTCCACCCTTCATGACGTCTTTGAGGCCAAATACTTCAAGGACGAGGATTCAGCCCCCGCACCTGTCCCAGAGTTATAGTCACACCAAAGACGAGGAACCCGTTTGGAGCTACGAGCAAAGGCCCCAGTTCACTGTGAGTGTGTGGATTGCAGTGCAGATTGTGGATAGTTGCACGTTTGAAGTGCTTTGCTGAATACATGAGTGTGAGGAGTAAAGTCCCGCCTTAGTTTGTGGCTTTGACCTGCTGGATCGCCTAAACTCGAGGGGCGTTGCGTCTTCCTAACCAGTGTTTGTTGAGTGTGTCTTATATAGCGACCTGAGCAATTCATCCCCCGCTGTCTTAGCCTGCCTGGAAGAGGAGCCATTACCTGTACACCCACCGTTGTTCGGCTTGGAGCCGATTCTTGCTGTCCTGGCTTGTCTTGAAGAGGAGGCATTACCCGTGTACCTACCATTGTCCGGCCTGGAGCCGATCCGTTAGAGACGCGAGTTACTCATCTCCCGTTGCCTTGACTGTCCTGGAAGAAGAGCCATTACCTGTACACCCACCGTTGTTCGGCTTGGAGCCGATTCTTGCTGTCCTGGTCTGTCTTGAAGTGGATCCATTACCCGCGTACTTACCAGGGTTTGGCCTGGAGTTGATCCTTTAAGGACGGGAGTCAGAGATGTCCCCAACTCGGCTCAATGCAGACGGTTGTCGTGCTGGTCCACTGGGGAGACCACACTGTGGTTGCAGCCATTGTGTGTGATGACGCGCCAAGTACCCTGCAGCCATTAACACCGGACAGAAGGAAATAAGTGTAAATGGATGGAAAAGCGTATGCCATTGGAAAGCTACGTCTTAGTTTGTGCTTATCTTGGCGAAAGCGGAGTACAAATCAGCACAAAATTTTAACATCTACTCTCGGGAAATGGAAATCATACAAGCTATGTTGATTCGCAATGCATTAAAGGGTTGAGTGATTAGTGCTCCACATCGCTATCATCTTCCCATTTTTGGTAAAATTAGACAAAAATATTACTAAAGAACTTTGTAATGCAGTTACTTGAATATTTAAGCAAACTACTTATTTACTCTTACTTGAGTCATATTATTTTTCAGTACTTCCACTCAAGTCAATTATTAAGTAACAATACTTTTACTCAACTACAGTTTGTTAGTTTCCACCCCTGCAATTGATATAGTTCTTTAATGCTTCGATTAACTAGCAGAAGACGCTAGCATGGTTTAATGCCCAGTTGTGGCATGTTTACAATGTGCCCCCATTAGAAATGTTATCATATTCTATACTTTTATGAATTCTATTGAGATAACACGACAAACATGTTAATAAAAACTGAGAGTCAATGTTCAGAAATTATTTTGAACTATGCTGTATAGCTGGGTTTTGCGATGTGTTTGTCAAACTCATATTTGTTTATTTTCAATATAAAAAGCCTTTATTTTACATGAAAAAAAATCATACTGGTAACGTAAAAAAATTGTCTGAATTGTACATTTATTTTTTGATTAGATCAGATAGCATTTTAAGCGGTCATATGTTACAATGTGCCCCTCACATGTTACAATGTACCCCACCTATGGGCCATGTTGTCACATTTCACTTCCATTCTTTCTGGGTAAATTAAGAATCAAGTATACACTGTATTAATAAAACCACAATTGTAATAGACATGTGGGAAAATAAATAACCTAAACCCAAGCAGATTTACACAAACTGATAAAGTCAAAAGGCGTTATGTTGTGCCCCACCCTCCCCTAGCCACCCTTGAGGTGTGGTCACACCCATCAGTGTCATAGCATCAAGCAACGCTCTTTTATCATTTAGAGAAATAGCGTCTATTTATAGACCATTGTGATGCTCTGAAAGTGTAAACCCATTAAGCACAGTACAAGCAAACTTAAACTATAGGATGAACGCAGGTAAAGTGGACATTTTTTTTTTAAGAGTGGAGCTGTTTACTATTGGGAGCTATGGCCAAAAAGTCTCTGAAAAGACCAAAACAGACACGAATTGCTGGACACCAGGAAACCAGTCAAAAGCATTGGAAGTGTTTGTAATGGCAATAAATCTAGGGATATCATTTCAGAGTATTAAGAATCACTTTAATGTAGGACATATGCAAACACACAAGGAAAAATCATGATTATCCCATTTGAATCTGCTTTTCCACCATATCCGTCTCTCAGTGACCTCCTCCACAGCTTTTCCTGGGGAGCGGTCCAGTCTTCTGCCACAGACTTGGAGAAGTAATACCAATGACACCATAAGCAATTATCGGTCCAGAACACCCACTCGGTTGACTCTCCTCATCTGACCCCATTCCAAAATCACCCTCCTTCTCGTGAACCACCACCGAACGTCCCAGAATGGAATAAGCCCCGAAGAGCTTGGCCTCTGGGAGATCCAGGGACAGCCTTATAACTCCTTTCTCAGAAGCAAAGTTGCCCATGTCTCCAGGACGACTTGGGCGGTCAACACCATTTGAATTGTAAGGAGGACCAACAGTGACGCTGCCTTGACTAAGGTCTCCATACCGATGGACGTCAATGGCACGCTCTTGACGATCCCTGGCAGGGAAACCACGGAGGTTGACTTTCACCTCTAAAACTCCATCGGGGAAGACCTGCTTGAAGAGGATTTGCCCAAAGATCTTTGGCTGGGAAGGTGGCAAATTGGGGCTGGGAGTTACTTCACAAGTGGCATAGATCGTGTTGTTGAACTCCACGACTTCCGGCTGTGGAGCTTCGGCAATGGGTGAACAAACTGGACTTCTAGTCAACTCTCCTCCTTGTATATGCAGCACCAGCAATATCAGAGGGATTTGTAGGACCATTTTCTCCATGTTGATCTTTATAGCCTACAATGAAGATTGGATTCAGTGAAATCATTCCTTTTAAGAACATGGTATGTTTGATAGAATACGGTTTAAAGCTCTGAGAGTAGAAGTTGCATTAGGTAAAACACCACAACCAGATTAAATGTTAATTGACCATAAATGCCCAGTAAATTTAGTACTACACGAACCATATTTCAAAGACAATACAAGTAGTTATGTTATTATATATAGAGAGATAAGCTTGGGTCAAACCAATGACTGTTTCAGCTAACTGCATATACAGTACTTTTAAACTAGAACACAGTTTTATTTACAGTTCTATAAACAGGCAATTAAGTCTGAAAACATTATATTCTTGCACTTATGTATATTTTAAAGTTTTATTTACTTAAATGCTAAAGTGCACTTTGTCACAAGGGCAAGTGAAGTGAATTTAAAAAAAAACAACCTTTTTGTTGTACTAATTCAAGTCAATGTTTGCAAGAATGGAGAGAGAAAAAAACGAATCAAAAAAAGCATAGGACCATCACCGTATAGTTGAAAATCCAAAGAAACACTCCGAAACTTAATCCATGTGCAATCCTGAACTGGGGTTGAGAGAATGTTCCTTTACAATCAAACTGTTGCTCTTATAGGAACTCATGTGGAGCTACAAGTTAACCATATTAGTATGTTAGTCACTAATTAAGTTCACCTGTCTTTCATT